TATGTTCAGCACCCAGTGAAGATTTCCAGCACTTCGTTGCCATATGCACTCTGACCTCATGTTCAGCACCCAGCGAAGATTTCCAGCACTTCGTCGTCATAGTTAGCTGCCTGCGAAGAATTATAGTGCCGATGGTAGCTTTGATTATATGTCCGTCTTGCCTTTCCTCTTTGTTCAGGATATCAACCACATCCTCTGGCCACACTGAGCTGTACCATCTTCTCCAGACCATAGTGATATATTATGGTGGCTAGACGCCCGCATGCGGATCGGAAAGTCGTGGGTTCGCGTCCTGACGGAGGCTGCATTTTCAAAAATGACCTTCACTCCCAGGTAGACCCAGCCTTGAGTGGGTATGGGTACCAAGTGCAGACCTGGGATGTAAAGGCGGCCGACCTGATGTTGGCCCCATCACCCACCGACTGCTGATTAGTCTACAAAAACATAGGTCTAGTCCCAAGTGACAGAGGGCCCTTTCTTATAGTGACATATTTGTGTCTCTGCTTTGTTTAGATAGTCCCAACGGACTCAGACCACATCCAGCTTGACATACATCAATTCACCATCCAGTGGCGCAGAACCAACCAATCTGTCTGTTCATCTCCTAACACACCTGCATATCCAGATAAAATATTCAAAGGACTCTAACTACCCGGGATCTTTGTAGCGGTGATTGCCCTTCTGCACACAGCATACTGATCTCCACCCTTTTTAAGCCAGCTTTGTGAGCCAGTTGCAGTCACCACATGTGTGGATATCTGGTTCTCAAGTCATAAGAATGCTGATGTGACTGCCTCGACCTTCATTCTCAGACCAGATGTTGTATCATAAATGTTCAGTATTTAAGTCATAATAATAGGTGTTCTAGATGTGAGAAAATATAAACCAATTTGTTCTCTCTCTAGAAATTAATTCGATATTAATAATACCTGTCATAAAACCAGTGTTTGGTATCTCATAGGTTAAAAAAAAAAAGCAGAATATTTTATGGATGTATTGCACACACACCACAAACACCACACACACACACACACACCACACAGACAGACACACACACCACACACACACATACCACCCACACACACACGAACACACACGCACACACACGCACACACACACACACACACACACGCGCGCGCACGCACACACGCGCACGCACACACACAAACACACACAAAACCGAAGCGACCAGAATAACAGAATAACTAGTCGATGGAGCTCCATGGAATGTTGACAGCAACAGGTAAAAATATATTTAACAAAACATCTGAAGTATGTCTTGTCAAAACAGGTACAATTCATTAGGAAAATGAATGAGGTTAGATAACTATATTGAGATTAATTTAATCTCACGCCATGCAGTATACTAGGTGTATCCATTGTTTAAGTTTGTAATGGTGTAGGTGTTTGTATAAGTGAGAGAGTGCGTGCGCGCGTTAATCCGCGTTACAGTAGTTGGGAGTGAGGTGAGCGCTCAGGCCCTTATAATAATGGGATCATGTTATCTGAGCTAACAGGTTCTGACGCCTATAAAACTTAGTTATTTAAAGATTGATTTTTCGTGGACTCAACTCATATCTTTGCAGCGTCCATCTCACAGATCCTTCTACTGCAGAGATAACTGCAATGTACGAACTAAACACTGCACAGAATTTTGCCAGCGAAAATCACTAGGCGTACACTATCTTTGGTAAGGAAAGGGGAGAGAATGGCAGTGCAATGGGTAAATGCCAGAAGGGACACACAACAAAAGCTCCCTCTAAAGAATGCGATTATTTCAGCAGGTAGGTGATGCAAAAAAAAAAAAGGAGGGGGGGGGGGTGGGTGGGTGGGGGGATGGTGCGAAAAAACACTGCAAGATATAGTTAGTGTATGAGCTTTTGCGTGCCTTTGACACCGGTTGGGAGAGACAGAACACCTATGGATAGATCTGAGTACAAAAGGGACGATTATATGTTAACAGCTAATATGGTTAAGTCTGAGACGGAGAAATCCATTGCTGGTTGGCTGCCCAGGAAATAGAAACATCACGGGGTTTCGTCTCTCAAATTTAAACCAAGTTCATTTTCACAACCCATCAGGATAATAGCAAGCATGATGTATGATCAAGCACTTATTGCACGCAATCTGTGTTTTTTTTTTTTTTTACACAGCAAGAGAGCGGTGTGTTGAGAAATATCGGAATGGAACACAGTGAAAGAGATAAACTGAGAGAGTATGAAACATAAAAATTATAAAAGAAATTAGGGAAACACAAATTTAAGAAAGAACAGACATTATGAAGAGAGAGAGAGAGAGAGAGAGAGAGAGAGAGAGAGAGAGAGAGAGAGAGAGAGAGAGAGAGAGGGAGAGAGAGATCGACAGACAAAAACAGTGTGTGTGTGGGGGGGGGGGGAAATCGTAAGTACTGATAAAGTGTTGGCTTCAAATTAGTGTTTACGAAGACACAAATCATTAGATGCGGCAACTTCCCCTGTGAGTTCCGGGGCTCCGTCTCCACAGTAAAGATTGGCTGCAATGAATTTCCAAAATGCTGTCTCTTGTCCTGGTTATACACTCTCTCAGACTGCTGTCCATCCATCTCTTGATGTTGTGCTCCCACGTTTATCGTTGCCTACCTCTTGCTCTCTTGCCTTCGACTATTCCCGCCAGAATGGTTTTTAAAAGTGTATTTTGTCTTATAATGTGGCCATAGTATTCTGTCCTTTTTTAAATTTCAGTAATTCGCTTTTCATTTGTAGCCTTTCCAGAACTTCTGTTGTGGACTGTTTTTGTTTCCATGAAACACGACCTATTCTTTTGTATACCCACATCTCCGGAGACTCAACTCGATTTTATGTTCGTTTGTTCACCGTCCACGTTTCTGCACTAAAGAGCAGGACTTCGTATACATAACATTTGACGATTCTCTTTTTTAGTATGTTGTTTATTTCTCCAGCTGTCAGTAACTTGCGTTATCTCATTGAAGACAGCTTTAGCCATTCCTATTCTCTTTCTATTTACTGTTTGGCTTCTTTCATCATCTGTTACTGTGTGTCCCAAAAAGGAAAATCATGTTACCTGTTCTAACAGCTTTCCGTGTACTGTGATGTTCACTGTTACTCGTTCTTGTTTCATTGTTAATTACCATAGTTGATGTTTTTCAAATGTTAATATCTAAACCATACTCTGCACTCCGCCTGTTGACTTGATCAACTAGTTCTTGTAACTCCTGCTCATTTTCTGCCAGTAGCACTGTGTCATATGCGTGTCTCTGACTGCTAATTGTTCTTACGTTTATATTCAGTCTAGGCAATTCCACAAGCCTGTTTAAAAAAATGTTTTCTGAATAAAAGCTGGAAAAGCTTGGGGATAATAACATACATCCCTGTGGTACTCCTCTTTTTATCTCTATCTGTGGTGAGACGATGTTGTTGTGTCTAACTGTTGCTTTTTGTTGCCAGCATAAGTTACTAATAATTATGTTATCCTTTCCATCTAATTCTATATTTTAGAGGCATACAGTTAGCTTTTCATGTTGCACTCTGTCAAAAGCCTTCTTGTAATCTATGAAACATCACTTAGTGCCACTATTTTTCATAAATAATAAGATTACATTATATATTTTACTGCTTTCTTTTTATGTGAAGAATAGTTCTATCCTCTCTTCCACCACCCTTTGAAATGGGGTTCTGGACCTCTCATTCAAAGTGTCATAGTCTGCCTTATAGTTGATCCATTTCCTGATATTAGCCTCACTGCATTCACCACTATTTTCATCACCAGACTAGTTGCCGCTTTTTTAGCGACTCAGACACCAAAACTTGGAAGGACGTCGCTACTGTCCGGTAAAGTAAGTAAAGGATAATTTTCCACGCCTTCAGACGCACTAGACGTGTTGGGCTAGAAGAATATTGTGCAGACCAATCGGCTTTTTGTAGGTGATGGAGTCAGAATCACACAGGGCGTCTTTACTTCCCAGGACTCTACCCTGTGCTCAGTCGACCTGGGAGAAAAAGTATTTTTTTTTAAATAAAAAAAAAAGTGTCTGGCTCCGTCAGGACCCGATCCTAAGACCTTCCTATCCGCAGGCGAGCTTCTAGCCGCTACATCACGGTGGCTTCTTTTACTGCATTATTTATGGTGTATCGCCGAATGGAGCTTGAGGGGTTGATCCAGATGGCTAGTGCAGTAGCCATGGACTGTTCATCTTGGAATTATTTTTTGCTGAAAAATGTCCACTTCTTTCCGATAATCGACGCCCAGATAAGAACCCAGAAATGTAATCATTCGATCAGTCACTCCTCGGATGTCTCATCCATATCGCCTTGTGTATAGTAAATCGCAGTTAATAACTTCAAAACTAACTAGGAAAAATATAAAACTTTTAGTTTTAATATCAAATTATTACTATTGTATGGAGCCAAAACATAGAAAACAACTAAAACAGTTACTAATAAACTACAAACTTTCATCAACTGGTGTCTTCGCAGAATAGAGGAAATCAAATGGTATGACATAATCACTAATGTTACGCTTTGGGAGAGCATTTAACAAGTTCCAGAGGACCAGCAGGTGACGCAAAGACAATGACCTTGGATAGGACTCACTTTGAGAAAAACTTAGAAGAATATTATTAGAATGTATTTTTACTGGAACCCACAGGGGCATAGAAAGAAACGCACACGTATACACACACACACACACACACACACACACAGAGAGAGAAAGAGAGAGAGAGAGAGAAGAGAGAGAGAGAGAGAGAGAGAGAGAGAGAAGAAAAATATATTGAGAAGCGAGCCAAATAGTGAACAACAATTTGGGGAGGACATGGGTGTGCTGCAAGCAATAACAAAGGATAGAATGACTTGGTGTGAGTTGGTTGAGGGCTCATGCTCCATTGGGGGATAGACGGCAGAAGAAGAAGAAGAAAAAGATTCATTTCAGCTTAGGCAAAGTGAATTAATTCAAAGAGAAGACAGCAGTAGTAGTAAAGAAGATGATATTATATTATAATAAACATTTTACCGTTTAGTACATAGATTTGTGAACTTGTGACGTCTTTGTTACTTGTCCTACACACGTACACCCCATTGTCTGACAGTTTGGCGTGCTTGATTTCTAATGTGCTGACAATGGTACCCGTATTAATGGACACGTACTTGTGGATCTGCATGCCCCGATTGTTGTCAGTTGACAGAGTGTTGCCGTTCCTGGAAGCACAAGACAGTATTGATCATTAAATTATTGTTTACCTGGATAAACAAATATTGAATCTTGCTTGGTCTATATACTCACTGAGTAAAGGTAAAGTCAGGAGATGTGAATCAGGGCTTTTGCCCACGGTTATAAATCATAAGTGCTCTGCCACCAGTACGAACAGTTGATAAGAAACTGTCTGCCTGTGTCGCTGTCCTCAGACCACTTGGTAGCTACATCGACGCTTTGCTCACTGAGTGTTGTAAGGTATGTGTGTAAGTTAGTTGTACCCCACCAGGACATCACACAAAGCGATAAACACCCAGCGACACAAAGTGCCACCATGCGGACGAGGATCACCCGCTTTATGGTGTGAGTTTTCTTTAGAGGATACGAGCTTATTGGAAGCCTAACTAACATAAAATGTATTGACGCGACAGAAAAGACTAAAATTATATATAGAGGAAATAAAAATATATAAATAAAGAGCCCTTTTCCACACCTTATTGCACACATCGGAGGAGAATATAGATTACCACAGCCTGGTGAGATTGGTCCAGTTGGGGGTGACGAGAGGTTCTGGCAGATGCTCGAGGCTCAGAGGAAAGGCAAGACGGACGTTTAATTAGACTGCTAATGGCACTATTAGTATCGGAACTCTTCGCTGGCTGCTGAAGATGGGGACGGATCGCTTATGGGAATGCCCCGAGTGCTGTGATGTTGGTTCTTGAATCAAATGAAATCATTCCACGCCTCAAGTCGAATTTGGCCAATGGGGGCTTAACCTACATTTTATAGACCAATCGGTAAAATGTGGACAAAATGGTCAGAATCACGTCGGCCGGTTTTACTTATCAGAACTTTAGTTGAAAACAATTTAAAATTAGGTTGACCTGGAAGCCACGATCATGTTTTGTTGAAGGAGAAAAGTACGTCTCTGTTCAGTTTGAACCCACGACCTTCCGATCCTCAGGCGAGCGTCTAGCTGCCACACCACTGCTACTCCCACTGTAAGGAGTCAATTTCTCATTGATAATTAATGTCCGCATTGGTAATGAGGTCAGATATGGTTAGTTGCGTATCTTTTACAGGACGTTGCAGAACAAACCCCAACAGCCCCTTGCTGTTGTGTGGTTTTTCTAGGCAAATTTACGTCCAGTAGTTTGCCATTGCTTCTGGACGGTCCGCCCCCTGATACCACTGTTGAAACCAACGCAAGGCGATTGGCCCGCAGCTGTGATCGAACCCGGCATCCCGACATTACGAAGCGTCCGCATCGACTTAGCCCCAGAGCCGACTAATGAGGTTAGATACTGAACATAAATTATGAACTCGCTTGGGTGAATCAAATACGAAGTGTGCAGACGAAGAATTTAAGATAAGCGGACGAATTGGCGAAAGCTTACTAAAGAAAAGAGATCATGGACTGCGTGCTTTTAATGTTCGAGAACACGAGGGAGAAAAAAACAATTACTTAAATCTGGAATGATCGAGAATGATCAGTCTTGGTTTAGGTGTTGGAGCATTGTGTCTGATGGTGACCAGCGCGAGTGAATGAAACGTTTCTGTCCTACAGCTGAATACACGTTCCACAAAAACCTGGCCAGCCAGTTGGTTCGACATCTGTCAAGGCTGACGTGTGATTGATGCAGGTGTGATCAAGTCAAAACCTGATGTGTCCTGTTTTTCTTTGTAGTGTTGAGAGTTGATGTCTTGTAAAGATATGAACGATTGAAAGTACAGAGAGGTTTTGAACAACTATGATAACTGACTGGCTGACTTACTGACCGATTTGTCTATAGATATTGTGTCAGTACGCTCGGTAATTACCCATAGGTTTTCTGTTATTCTTAGATTTATAAAGGTGTTAGTAATTTCCGTCATCAACCATTGTACTCCTGAAATATATTGTAGGTATTATTTGTTTATTTTCACAAAATAATAAATGTGTAACTGTTTTTACATCACATGCAGAAGAGAGACAAGGAGTCATGGGCAATTAAATCAGTTCACAGAAGCCAGCTGCAAGTCTAAGAAATACGGTATCTGAAATAAAGATGGTTCAAGTGATAAGAATGGACAATTGGCAGTCACATTAAAATGCAGACCTTAACAATCACGAGTGGATCACTCACAGTTAGGACGGCTGTGACGTATGCAGAATGGGAGTGAATCAGCCACCACAGCAGCCATGAGAGGCCAAGAATCAGGGAACCAAGGCTGAAGTACAACCCAGAATGGGAGTGACACAGCCACCTTAGCAGCCATGAGAGGCCAAGAATCAGGGAACCAAGGCTGTAGTACAACCCAGAATGTGAGTGAATCAGCCACCACAGCAGCCATGAGAGGCCAAGAATCAGGGAACCAAGGCTGAAGTACAACCCAGAATGGGAGTGACACAGCCACCTTAGCAGCCATGAGAGGCCAAGAATCAGGGAACCAAGGCTGTAGTACAACCCAGAATGTGAGTGAATCAGCCACCACAGCAGCCATGGGAGGCCAAGAATCAGGGAACCAAGGCTGAAGTACAACCCAGAATGTGAGTGAATCAGCCACCACAGCAGCCATGAGAGGCCACGAATCAGGGAACCAAGGCTCTAGTACAACCCAGATTGTGAGTGAATCAGCCACCACATCAGCCCTGGGAGGCCAAGAATCAGGGAACCAAGGCTCTAGTACAACCCAGAATGTGAGTGAATCAGCCACCACAGCAGCCACGGGAGGCCAAGAATCAGGGAACCAAGGCTCTAGTACAAACCAGATTTTGCTAGGAAGATAACATCTGACAGTCTCTGACAGTCAGAGTGGAGTGGAGCAAAACCGAAAAGAAAACGGCTGGCACGAGAAGTCTGGCGATCTTTTTGGCAAACATCGACATCCCAGGATAGATGAGGACTAAGTAATTAAATACGTTTTTTGCTTTACATAGTATAAAAAGGAGAAGGGTAAGGTGGAATCTCTCTTTACGTAACATAGACAGAGGAGAAAGGTAATGTGGAATGGGACAGGTAGCTCCACATCATATTTACTGACCACGAATATTTTAAGGCCTAATAGATCACATCTCAATCACAGTGAGTGCCATTTTACTTTACGAATGAAAACTGTATTATTCTTTACCCTATCCCCATGTGGGTTAGGGGGCCGCCTTTGGGGGCAGGGTTGGGAAAGGGGGTGGGGGAGTATATACCCTGTGTCTTGAAAATAATATTTGTCATATGAGGCGACTAAATGGAGTGTTTCCGCCCCCCCCCCCCCACCCCCACCAACTCGGGGTGCAGCTACCTTAGAGACAAGGTATCCGTAAATGCATGCAAACTTTAAAAAAAATATAATAAAGGCTGGAAGTGGACGAACAACCAAAACTCTTCGCTGAAATGTACAGCCGTTGGAGGCCAAGAAAAACAGGAAAATATATGTAGCTAGTTAATGATTTGTGAGGTTTGAGGTTTTGAACAGCGGATCAACATCATGGCACACGGGTAGAAACCCATAAGTGCTCCGTTCTTCTTGTAACTCAAGTCTGAGTCCGAACAAGCTCAGCACAATGAACATGCCCTGTAGCACCGGCGAGGATCCTGGAATTTAATGATTTGTGTATATCCAAAGTGTTCCATTTCACAAAACGTCAACACAAAATATCATTCTCAACTGAAGTCATTCACGTTATCATCAGTATAACCAGCTTTCCAATAACGTTTCTAACACTATAAACAAACACGGTTATTTAATCATGTGATATTGGTATTACTTCTCCGATAGTTATACATCACCACAATGTATGCCTGCCGAGCCACGTCCAAATGTGTCTTCATGCATTTGTGCAAGCCGAATCAAGTATCTTCAATATATAATTACACGGTATTCATGCCCTCTGGGCTATAGTCCTCTTAACTTAGTAACGGAACAACCGATAATAGAAACGGGGTGCACTGGTTTCTCACGTTGTTTATTGATTGGAGTAAGGAATAATACACGATGTCTTACCGAGGTCATCACGGGAAGCAAAGAATAGTAACATTGCACCTTACTAGGCATGTCGTAAGAGGCGACTAAGGGTGGGGTTGGGCCTGCGGTTGGCTACCTCAGCTTGTTAAAACAAAAGCCACAAAAACCAGACAACCTTGAAAAAGTCAACAACAAAAAAAGAAAACAAACAAGATCAATCCAGCCAGCCAAGATGAAGGGGAGGCTTTTCTAATAGAAGAATTAGGGTGCTAGCGGGTTGAAAAGATAGGGAGGACATAGGCAGAACCGCATGCAATAACGAAGGATAGAAAGACTTGGAGGAATAAAAGGCATAAAAAGAAGAAGAAAAAAAAATAATAAAAGTCTAACATACATTTCTCTACTGTTTGTCACTGAGACTTCTGTTGTTCGAGGTTATTGTTACTGGAAGGACGCCTTATTCAATTAGGGGAGGAACAAGTTTGGTTTAAATGACAATTTCAAATCTTCATCCTTTACTTCTGCACTCGTTTTCAAAAGTATACGCTGTGTTAGTTTATTGCTAAGCTGCGAAATCTCTGCCTTTTCGGAACAGCAGATACAATCTCAGTAAACTTGAGTTGTCACTTTGTTATGTCATGCTTGTTAATGTCGTAACCTCAAGGACATTCTAGTTCAGAGACGGTTACGTCCGGCTTATGAGTCTCACTTCGACACGGTCTTTTGCAACAGACTTGTACGTAGGACCTGTCCATATGTGGTCCAGGAGACTAGTCTAGAATTTCCGTACGCAACCTTCCACATACGTGAAGCATTCTATTACACCAGCCGCAAAGTCATTTATGCCATCAACTACAAGAGATGTGGCGTGAAATACATTGGTGAAACAGGTCTACTGCTAGCTGACAGATTCAGACATCAAATCTAGCCACTCCAGCGACAGTCCGCAAGTCTCTTGAAAATCGCTTTATTTACACTTTCGGTACTTTCGGTACTCTGGACTGATTTCATAACACAGTTTCATTTAAACTCCTAGGGTATTGAACTGCCACACAGTTTGATCACAAACCCCCTTGTTATGGCCCCTGGTACTCCACAGAGGGTATTTATTCTCCTGGCCCACGTGTATCGGTAGTCTGCTGAGAAGTCATCGATCCGGCTGCTTTGAGACACCAGCAAAGTGATTTGGTGTATTTGTGAGGTATGGTTTGATTTGTGTATGTGCTGATGAAGGCTCCACAGCCGCAACGTTCACGTTGTGTTTGTATTTGTTAGACTGTGAAACTTGCTGATATACTTTTCGTTCGGTTTTATATCCTTTCTTGATACGTAAAGTAAAAAACCAGTATCCAGCATTTCTTTTTTTTTTTTTTTTTTTTTGAATTTAGCACTAGTACTGCCTACATTTTCTAGAAATGTCAATCACAGTCTGTTTAGCCTCAGTTGCAGATGGCCGGCCTATGGATGGTGCCGACTTTGGTTATGCCCTTAGGACCATCCGAGGATGTGGGAGCAGTATATCCACTCCACTACTGTACATGTTGAAGGGGGGAGGGGTGGAGGAGGGGGGGGTAGGGGGTAAGTCTAAACATCTTTGGGCGAATCCGGAGTGCTGTGAAGTGAACCCAACTTTCAGCTTGTAACTCAGAACAATGGGCACTTAGTTGGTGAGGTGGTCATTACGACGCCGGTCGCCTTTACTTTCCAGGACTTTACCCGCTAACCCACTTAAAGTTGGCTCAGCCAGGGAGTCAATGTCATTAAAAAAAAAAAAAACAGTTCTTTTCGGACTCTAACGCACGCCCTTTCGATCAGCAGCGGACATCCAGCAGCGACAGCACGACGGCTCCCACCTTAGCATGCGATTAGCTTTTAAACCGCTGCGTGCCATGTATTGTTGTTGTTGTTGTTGTTGTGGTTTCTGTTCTTCTTCTTCTTCTTCTTCTTCTTCTTCTTCTTCTTCTTCTTCTTCTTCTTCTTCTTCTTCTTCTTCTTCTTCTTCTTCTTCTTTTTCTTCTTCATCTTCTTCTTCTTCTTCTTCGTCTTCGCCTTTACCGACTGTAAACTCCGGCGGAAAGTTATAGAAATTCGTTAACCTCTAGACTTTAATCTTGTTCCATAACCTAAGTGCTGCGTGCTCATCCGTTTTACACATCTGACTTGCCTGAATGCAGATGCAGATTGTTACACGTGGCTTATCTGTAAGCAGACTCTGTTAAATTGAATGTTTTGTTACCTGAACCAGTCTATATCCTCTGGTGGGTATTCCTGACTTGAAGCATTGCACACGAGATAAATTCGGTCTCCTTCATCAACATAGTTGGAACCCGAGATCTGAATGTCTGAAAGCATATGTAAAACACTGATACAGCTTATAATTAAATACACGCCATATATGACTACAAAAGCAATTATCGAAACATAAACTAATAAATTAGAACACGAGCTGTAGGGTGAATAAAAAGACATTGTTGTTATCAAGAAGCGGCAAATACAAGTGCACGTTTTTATTGCAGAAATTGCTTCAGCCGTCTTTACCATGCAGATATCTCTTGATTGAAACTGCTTCATCCTATGTATCCTGGTTGCATAAGTGTGACGTGATTTCATCATATTTTCTTATTTTTGTTAACCCAAACCCTCTGTTCTCCATATCATCCTCTTCCTTATTATCCTCTTTCTTCTGCTTCTTATTTTTTCTTTTTTTTCTTCTTCTTCTTCTTCTTCTTCTTCTTCTTCTTCTTCTTCTTCTTCTTCTTCTTCTTCTTCTTCTTCTTCTTCTTTTTTTTTCCTGCTTCTGCTGCTGCTTCTACTTCTTCTTTTTCTTTTTCTTCTTTTTCTTCTTCTTCTTCTTCTTCTTCTTCTTCTTCTTCTTCTTCTTCTTCTTCTTCTTCTTCTTCTTCTTCTTCTTCTTCTTCTTCTTCTTCTTCTTCTTCTTCTTCTTCTTCTTCTTTTTCTTCTGCTTCGTCTTCTTCTTCGTCTTCTGTTTTTGTTTGTTTTGTTATCTTCTTCGTCGTCGTTTTCTTCTTCAGATTTGGCTACGTCTGCGTCTGCTTTCGCTTCACGACATTCAGAGCGTGTGGCAAACGGCTTGACCACTTTGCCACAGAAACCCAGGTGGGATCGAACCTGGTACTTGCGAGTTATAAAGAGCATTCGCAACGCCCTAACCACAGGCGCCATAGGTCATGATGTAGGTGAATTATGTAGATTTTATGCTATTAACACTGGTAAGCAACGCCCTCTGTGAGTTAACTTCTATCAAGATTTCTTCATTACGCTTTTAATCTGTCTACGATGTACTCGCCATTTCTCCGTGGTATGTCGATGGCAATTTACAACATAAAAGAGAAACAATTTACAACTACCACATGGAAAGAGAACCAATTTACAACAACTACCACAGAGAAAGAGAAACATTTACAGCATTCACAACTTACTAGGTCTGGTTGTAGTCTCCGTAGAATGGGGATCTGTGGAGTATACAAGATGGGTACATCTGTATTAATGCTTGTCTAAGAATACATTTAAGTTAGTTAGTTGCGTATCCTTTAGAGGGTGTTGCAGAACCAACCCCAACAGCCCCTGGCTGTTGTGTGGTTTCTCTAGGCAAGTTACATCCAGTAATTTGTCATTGCTTTCTGGATGGTCGGCTTTCTTGATACCACTGTCGAAACCAACGCAAGGCGCATTGCCCACAGCTGGGATCGAACCTGGCATCCCGGCATTACGAAGCGAAGCGCCACAGAGTCGACGATACATTTAAGACATTTACAAAATATCTGGTAAACCTAAAGGGTAGAATAATATAAAGGTTTGTATGCTCACTTAAAATGAAAATTAGATGCGTAACCTATATGAGGCGTCACAAATCAACTTCAGAATATGTTGTTTGTTTGCGATTTTAGAAGGTCAGTTTACATTCATTGGTTTAAAATTCATCTGAACGGTGCTGTCTCTTTAACCCGTACAGCTACTGATCTTTTGTATTTGCTGCTTTCAGTCGACGATGAACTGCATTTATAGTGACGGACTATGTGTGCAGGCACATCTGACGACTGCTCTACGCATAAAATGAGTGTCTATGCTATTGGCTTTGCTGGGACTGCAGTCTGTGTCAATGTTTCCCCACAAGCGACAGTAATGTGAATTATGTGGGGTTTTAATTGGCACAGGAACGTATCAAATTTGGAGTGATCTGTTTTTCATGTAGCTGTAACAAAACAAAAAAAGTAAAGGACATTTTTTCACGCCTCAAGGTGTATAGGGCATATAGGGCTAGACCTACTGTTATAGACCAATCGGCGCAAAATGGGTGATGCAGTCAGCATCGCGCTGGCTGCCTTTACTTCCCGGGACTGCACCGAGTACCCACTCAGGCTGGGTCGACCTGGCAGCCAATGTCATTTTTGAAAAAAAGTCTGTCTCCGCCAGGGATCGAACTTACGACATTTCGATCCGCGGCGATCGTCTAGCCGCTCCGCCATGGCGACTACCATTCATGTAGTTGGACTTGTGAATAATTAATTAGCTGAACGTTTGACGCTGATACCAGTCTCAAAATGAACGCAGAGAAGTCTACTGACAAAATAACTGTGGCTGAATCAAACCAGGTATTATATGAAACTGCAGAGGGCTGCGTGGTCTCAGGGTATGGTGTCCGATTAGTCTGCTAGAGGTCCCTGGTTCAGGCCCGGGTGAGGGCCGGGATTTTTAACAAAGACTTTTACCAATTAACCCTTGTCTCTGGGTAGTGAGATCGGGCGCCCGTGTGGGTATTGTTGCGCACATAAAACATCCCTTGGCAGTTGGAAATCGAAAAAAGTAGACAGACGGCGCTGCCCAGCTGAAACTTGGAGTAAAAAATATACCCAAAATATGTCAGTATCCTTGCTGGTGCTATGGGGCTCGTGCACTGCCCTGAGCAACTTCAGCCCCAGACTTGAGTTATAAGTAAAACGGGGAACTTATGGTTTACTACACGTGTGCCATGATGTTGATCCAAAGTTCAAACCTCAAACCTTATAAAACTGCATTCACAACCGTTAAGTCAGTGATGACCGTGAATAGGCACATTAGGCAAGTGGATATTTTATAAAGCACTAAAGCGCGGGTATTTTAATCTAGCGATATAATATTGAACATCCGAGGTCATTTTGACCTTCCATGTTCAATATTATATCACTAATAACAGGAGTAGCCTTAAACGCCCAAACTGTCTAAAGTATTTATCTACTGTAATAGTGAAAATGAATTTCTAAAAGGCGAACGCAGTAACTTACCAACTCTCCCCACTGCTAAAACACCCAAGCATCACTGTGGCACTAAAACGACAACTGATAAATTGCATGTTTATACCAACCCTCTGCTACCAATGCCAAACCTGGTCCCTAACAAGAGCACAGGAGAAAAAGATCACGACGTGCGAAATGAGATGCTTACGTCAGGCTGCAAATGTCACAAAGAGAGACAGAGTTCGAAACGAGAACATTAGAGCAATTGTAGGAACCACACCATGCCTGCAATACATAAAGAAGCAACAAATAGAGTGGTTTGGCCACTTGATGCGAATGCAAACCGACCAACTGCCTCTACGAGCATACAACGAACAGCACTTCTGCCCTAGAACAAGAGGCAGACCGAGAGTACGATAGATAGACAATATATCAGAGATCCTGAGGCAACACGGACTAACAACAACACGTGCAACACACCTGGCCCAGGATAGAAAACTGCGACTCCCCACTACGCTGTGAGGCAATTGTGGACAAGACAAGACAAGTATTTAGTATCCAATAAACTATTTATTTTTTTGCGGTGGGGGGGGGGGGGGGGAGTGGTAAATTTATTATGCGGTCTGTTTCAAATGAGAGCTTGTTTTATAAACACCATAACCACAAGAGTGCTGAATAAAAATCATATAATAAAGTACATTCACGTGACTGAAGGGGCTGCGTGGTCTCGAGGCATGGTGACCGACTCGAGTACTAGAGGTTCAGGGTTCAATCTCCAATCAAGGCTGATATTTTTTCGCGTGGACTTAAACTTGTAGTAATTCCCCCTGGTCTATGGGTAGTGAGATCGGACGCCCGTGTGCATTACTGCACACGTAAAAAAAAAAATAACTCGGCAGCTGGAAATTGAAAAGAGTAACCCAATGGCGCTGCCCAGGCAAAAATGTGGAGCGTAAAATCTACCAAATGTATTTCAGGATCCTCGCCGGTGCTACATAGCATGTACATTGTGCTGAGCATCTTCACACTCAGACTTGAGTTAGAAGAAGAACGGAGCAATTATGGGTTATTACCCGTGTGCCAGGCGTCCGTGGCTAAGGCGTTGCGAGTCCGACTCGTAAGCCAGCATACCGCGATCGAAACCCACTGCAGGCTGTGTGGATTTTTGTCGTGGTATGGGACGTCGCAGGTCGACCCAGCCTAAAATGGGTACCAGGATGGGCTGTCCTGGGAAAGTAAAGACAGCCGGCGTAATGTTGACCACATTACCCACCGAGTGCTGATGGTCTGCAAAAATATAGGACGCTCTGCCTATGCCCGATGCGCCGAAAGGCGTGAAAAGGGATCTTTACTTTTTTTTTTTTTTTACCCGTGTGCCATGATGGTGATCCGTTGTTCGAACCTCAAACCTCACGTGACTGCTTGATCGTTCACCTTAGTAAATGGATGGCATAGTACTGGGGTATGCTTGTGCACATTATAGGAGCGTAGTCATTTGGAAATAAAAAAGGGAAGGCAGAACGAACTCGGGAAGGCAGAACGAACTTTTTTTTTTTTTTTTGGTTTTTTTCTTCAAAAACTATAATTTTTCTCGTAAAAATAATAACAACGATAGCACATCAGCAAGTGACATTGGCTTCTGAAACATTGGTTTACGTTCAATTTCTAGTAGAAGCCGCGCCATTTTTTCCCAAAGCTGGGGTCAGCCAAGCCACTTAACAATGGATACCTGACAATTTTCAACAGTTTCTAGTAAGTTAAAGTGACAAGGAAAGGAAATAGAAATCCTACCCCTGTACGTCGTGGCAGAGAATATATATATATATATATATATATATATATATATATATATATATATATATATATATATATATATATATATATATATATATAAAGACCTGACATTTCACAACTCCAACTGCAGTAACTGTATTGAAACAACAGCCTTTGTTTACCCACTAAAATATATCAGATCAGGAGAAGTGGATTTTTTTTAAACAATAACAGGAAGCAAGAAGAAGAAAAATATAGACATCCTACATAATTCTGAACACTTGATGAGAACTGCCTAATAAACACTACTCTGGCCTGAAAGCTTAGGTATTTTT